GGAAGGAGAGAGGGAGAGAAGGAGAGAGAGATGAGAGATGTGAGGGGGAGAGAAGGAGAGAGAAGGAGAGTCGAAAGTAAGGAGCAGAAAAGAGAGAGGAGAGAAGAAGGGAGAGAGGTGAGGGAAAGAAGAGAGCGAGAGGCATGAGCAGGTGAGAGTAAGAAGGAAAGAGGGAGGACAGGATAGAAAGAGGGAAAGAGCGGAGAAGAAGGAGAGAGAAGAGAGAGGGAGGGAGAGAGAGAGAGACGAGAGGGAAGAGAGAGGGAGCAGGAGAGAGGGAGAAGAGAGAGAGAGAGAGAGAAGATGAGAGAGAGAGAAAGAGCATGAGAGACGAGAGATGCGAGAAAGGAGAAGAGAGAGGAGAGAGAGAGAGAGAAGGTAGAGAAGAAGAAGGAGAGAGAGAGAGAGGAGAGGCGAGGAGAAGAAGGAGAGAGCAGAGGGGTGGAGAGAAGGAGAGAGAGAGGGAAGAAAGATGGAGAGATGAGAGATAAAGGGAGAGAAGGAGATGAGAGGAGAGTCCAGGAGGAGAAGTTGAAAAGAGGTAGAGCGGAGATTATTGCAGGATAGACAGAGAGGGAGAGAAGAAAGAGTAGAGAGAGAGACGGAGGGAGAAGGCGCGAGAGAAGGAGAGAGAGAAGGCAGAGAGAGAGAGAGAGCGTAGAAAAGAAGAACAGAGAGGATGGAGAAGAATGAAGAGAGAGTCAGATAATAGAGTGAATCGGAGAGAAAAGGGAGAGAAAGAGAGAGGGAGAGGAAAAAGGAGAGCAGGGAGCAAGAAAAGAAGAGAGAGAGAGAGAGAGAAAGAGACGGAGAGAAAAACGAGAGAGAGATGGAAATAGAAGGAGGGAGATGAAGGAGAGAGAAAGGAAAAAGCGAGAATGAGAGAGTAGAGAGGAGGAGAAAAAGAGAAAAAAGAGGTAGAGAAAGATATTATATATATATTACTATATATATTTGTGCTTTATAAATACATGTGTATTTTAGTATGAATTTATATCCAATTTCATCAGAATTTTCATTACTGATTATTTGTTTCTTTGTTGTAAACATTCTGTTAATCGCAGGAAAATGATATTTAATTTCCTTTTATGTCTAAGTGCGTTATAGTTGGCTAACCCATTGCTGGTATTATTGCTTTGTAAATTTACTCATTTTAATTGTTCAATATCTTAATTATCATCTTCTTAAATTTTGGTATTTCAACCCATTTAGCCATTTGTTATGGCATCCTTTATCCTTTTTTGTATTCCATTTCACAGCTGGAACAATGAAGTATTCTTTCCCCCGACCAGTATTCCTTTGCGCCTCCACTCATTGGACGAGGAAGTATTCTTGTACAGGAGTCCGTTCATGAAATGTAAGAACTCAACGAAGGTGTCACTGAAGTAAAATAGCAGATAGAAATTAAGGAAGAAGAACTTGTATGATTGCATGCAGATGAAGTGAGTAAAGTGAAAGGTGAAAAAAAATGAATTTCTTTCCTTTAGGGTATCTTCAGGACCTTAAAAGGCAAGCCAACATGCAAAAAGCATTCATGTGATATTATTGAAGAATTGTACATACCTTCGAGAGTGCCAACTCGTGCGCTGAGTGACAAATGAGAAAAAAATGTTTTCATCAGAAAATAGATCAGAGGATGAGGAAAACATACAAGGAGAAACCAATATAGCTTGTGAAATTTTTGCAGAAAAGCTTTTGCTTTGAAATATTAATCTAGTAGTGCACTTGAGAGTACATTACAAATGGAGAAGCCATATATCTGCTGAGATTTGCAATAAGGACTTCTCAGATAGATCAGCCTAGTGAGACACATAAGCAGTACATACAAAAGGAGAAAACCATATAGCTGTGAGATTTGCAAAAAAAGCCTTCTTCTCGAAAAGGTTTCTTTAATAAGTCACATAAGAGTACATACACAAAGAGAAACCCTATTATTTGCTGAAATTTGCCTATAAAGAGTTCTCTGCGAAAGGTTCTCTGGTAAAGGCACATGAGAGTACATACAAAGGAGAAACCATATAGTTGTGAAATTTGCTGCAAAACCTTCGCTGTGAAAAGTAATCTAGTAGTGCACTTGAGAGTACATACAAAGGAGAAACCATATAGCTGTGAGATTTGCAATAAGGACTTCACACATAAATCTCATTTAGTGAGACACATAAGAGTACATACAAAGGAGAAACCATATATGTGTGATTTTTGCAAAAAAGCCTTCTCTCAAAGAGATTATTTAGTAAGTCACATGGGAATACATATGAAGGAGAAACCATATATCTGTGACATTTGCAAAAAAGGTTTCTCTCTTGGAAAAAATTATCTAGTAGCTGCACATGAGAGTACATACAAAGGAAGGAGAAGCCATATATCTGTGATATTTGCAATAAGAACTTCTCAGGTAGACCAGCCTTCGTGAGACACATAAGAGTACATACGAAAGAGAAACCATATAGTTGTGAAATTTGCAGCAAAGCTTTTGCTTTGAAATATAATCTAGAAGTGCACATGAGAGTACATACAAAGGAGAAACCATATATCTGCGAGATTTGCAATAAGGACTTCTCACATAGATCAGCCTTAGTGAGACACATAAAGTACATACAAAGGAGAAACCACATATCTGTAATATTTGCAAAAAAGCTTTCTCTCGAAAAAGTCATCTAGTAGTGCACATGAGAGTACATACAAAGGAGAAACCATGTAGCAGTGAGATTTGCAATAAAGGCTTCTCAGATAAGTCTTAGTGGATCACATTGGAGAACATGCAGAGGATAAGCCATTTATGTTTGGTTTCCAATAAAACCTTATCTCTAACATATATTCTAGCACAACACAAGAGAGTACATGCAAAGGAGCAATGTGCCTGAGGATTCTCCAAGAAATATGATTTAGTGATTATCTGCGGGCATGCAAAGTTGAAACCATATAGGCATTCTCTGTGAACAAAAGATTACTCTGGTGTACACAAAGGTCACAGAAATAATATGTATGAGGTCTGTAGATATACCTTCACCTTGAGTAGAAATTTTGTAGGACATATGAGAATTATGAATGAAAAAAATGATTACAAGGAAGACATTATTGTGGCAGATGCATCATAGAGTTTGAAGGTTCTCTTTTTGGATTTATGTTTTATATGATTTTGTTTATATGTAGTTTTGTGTATTCTGACTTGTATTTTCGTTTTCATAGACTTAATGTCACAGGGGCAGTCAAAACACAACCACTAATGTTCACAGTGTTTCAAAAAACTGCTCTCCAATACAGATGTGTTTTGTAACTTCTATCATAATTTTGGCATTACAGTTACAGGCAGACACTTCATATTCTTCATGTGAAATCCTATATAAGATCTGTATTAAAAGGTAAATGAAAGTTGATTCAAGGAAAGAATTTTGTTATCTATAAGTCCATTTACATAAAAACACATTTGCATGTATATATAATTATATATATATATATATATATATATATTATATATATTATATATATATATATATATATTTCTGTCATATCTATGCATCATTTCATACTTTTCTTATGGAATAAGTATTTACTCAGGATAATTTTGTGTTGTTAAATTTTTCAAAAAGACATGAATGAAAATTTATATCTCTTTACTGCTAGAGTTGTATTTAAAGCATTTCATTATATCTTGTGATATACATGTGTATGTCTGATGCAGATGTGATGAAAGTGTATTAAATGCATTTGTTTTAATGTGAAGATATCCATTCTCATTCATATCTTTTTTATGTCAATCACAATGAGCACTAGTATTTCATATCTTTATTTAGATTTTGTTGACAACAATCATCAGCATGTGTGAAGCATTGGCTGTGAGCCAGTCTCCAAGCGATAAGCCAATTGACTTCATGTGAGGGAAACATTTATCTTTGTGTCCTAAGTTATTCTGAGAGGGAAAGCAGCATCCAGCAGTCATGTCCTCATATATCCTTTTAAGGACAGGCACACCTTTAGCCATTATGATGTAAGGACATATGACGTGTATATGCATCATGAATCACGAGTGGGTGGGCCAGCTATACACAGCACACTATTGCATAAGGATTACATTATAGAGAATTCTGGCCCTGTCATGGTAGGGATATATATGTAAATATATATATGTATACATATGTATATATACATATATATGGCATAACTTCACTCTCGAATAATTTTTGCTCTTTGTGTGCAAACATGTTGAGAGAGCTTTTTATTTTGTTAGTTTGTAACTCGATAGAAAGTGACACGCTGGCCAGCCAAGCAGAGTGCAATGCTCTCAAATATATTTCATGCATGCCTCAGATTTATATTTTCATAACTTCTACATTGTTTTGTATGTTTCTTGATATAAAATTCATAAGCATGTGTGTCTTTTTTTCCACTTTTGCAGTATGTGAATTATATGTCCACAATATAAGGTTAATGATAGTTGCTAAAACAACAGGGTAAAATTTTAAAATGTTATTAGTCATGTGATTGGATATTGACTTTATTGGGATATCTTTCAAATCATAATTTATTCTTATATGATGAGAACAAATCTGAAGATCATTTCTGGCACCGACTTTCGCTAACTTGAAATCCACATATATACATATATACATATACATGCATACATATATACATGCTATATATATATATATATATACTATATATATATATATATATATATATATATATATATATATATATATATATTATATATATATATATATATATATATGTATGTATGTATGTATATATATCCAACCCATCTTTTGGTAAAATCTACTGAAATTCACACTATCCAAATCCCCAACTTTATTCAACGATTTAAGTTCCCATGTCTAGGCAGCCCTTCGGATAATGGCCGAGGGGAAGGTTGATGGGAGTCTCTGCCCCCGACCCCCTTGGCAACCATTCTTTTCACCTCAGCATGTAGGGCAAGAGAGAGCTACATCCATTCCTTAAAGAATAAACAAAATACCTTTATATCTCACAGCACCAAACTTTCC